GGCTCGGGCGGCCCGGGCGGGCTCCGGCTGCCGTTCCAGCAGAGCCTAGACAGGGGGCACTCCCCGTCGTCCTCGGGGCTGGTCTCCAGGTAGTCGGAGCCTAGGGAGCTAAAGGACTCGGAGGAAATCTTCCTTCGAGACATGCTGCTGGCGGCGTGGCGGCAGTGGAAGCGGTGGCGGAGGGGACGAGTGCGGCGGCGGCGGCGACAGGACCGGGAGCGGCGGCGTTAGGCTCGTTGGGGCCGCTGGGCGCTGCGGTTGCGTTCCACTGGGAGCGAGTCCCTGGAGCTGCGGAGACCCCGGAGCCAGTTGCTCATGGTGGGAACTTGGGCGCCACAGCTCCCTGGGGCCCTGACTGGGTGGTGACACAGGGCTGGGGGCCACCGCCTTCTCTGCTGCTCCTTGCACTGACCGCTTCAGCGCCAGCCTCGGTGCATCGCCGTGCGCCCGCGCTCCGAGCCCCAGCTTGCGCTCACCGTGAGGCTCCGAGTGTGTGGCCGCTGCCGGTGGGGCGGGGAGGGCTGAGGCCCATGCACTCTGGGAGGCTGAAGCTTCTGCCGCCTGCGCGCCTAACTCGCCCCTCTTCTCTCTCCCCCCGCCCTCTCCTCCCGCCTCTCCCCCATTGCTGCCTGCTTCCCTCCTTCTCTCTGCACCCTCCTCCCCCCGCCCCATGCTCTCCCTCCGCTGGTATCACGTGTCGCCATCATACTATTTGGGAGTCTCTGCCTTGCCTGTCGCCACGTTTCAGGAGCAATGAGGACACTTCCTAGTCGTCCTCTGCTCGCCCTCCTCGCTCCCACCACCCTCTCCTCCAAGGAGGAGGAGCGCCCCAGAGCTCAGATCTCACCAAAGGGTTCCAACACTAAATGCCCTACCCTTCCTCCCTGGGAGTGGCAGCTGGAGAGCAGAAGAGCCAGGCAGGCACACAGCACACCGGAAGGGAGAGGGTGCAGGACTGGAGGCTGGAGACCTCCTTCTAGGGCCAGTTCAAGAAGCCTGAAAGCTCAAAGTAGACAGGGTCCCTATTTGTCTTTCCCCTGTCTTCCTCGGATTTTTTAGGAAGTTCTGAGCGAGGGGAAGTTCTGAGCGAGGGGAAAGGCCAAGTGGTCCAGCCCACTAGTTCCAGGGCAGACGCTTACAAGGTAAGAGAAGGGGCAATCTATTGGCACCAATCCTGCAGGAGCAGGTCAGGGGGACAAGTGTTCTCCCCTAGAGTAGCAGCTGGGTGGGCTCAGAGAGATCCTACAGCCTGAATGGCAATGAATGAGGACAGCGCCTGCTCAGGCCAGAGCCCTGTTGCTCAGCATCAGTCCGGTGGGGCACCGGGCTCAGGGCTCCCGGTTCCCGCCAGCTCCGCACTAGTGCTGGACAGCTCCACTTGCCACTTGCAGCCGAGATAGCCAGTCCACGCTGGAGGACATTTCCTCTGCAGACAACATTTGCAAAGACCCCACTGGGGAAGAAGGGCATAATCCCATGTACCTCACTCCCTCAGCTCTTTGCACCAAATACTAGATCTGTTTGCACTTTGCTTCAAATGCAGCTTGCCAAGCTAAGGGGAACAGGGAGGGAAGCGAAGCTTTTCCAAGCCCAGAACAGATTCAGAGCAAGCACATTCATTGCGGAGAGTTCCCTCAGAGCAAAGCAGTAGCAACTCTCAAAGCCTGTACCCACTACTTCCCTCCCTCCCACCCTTATAGAAAAAGTTTGAACTCCTGCTGAAAACAGAGGAAGGAGTAGGGAAAGGGGGTAAACAGAGGGGTCCCCAGACTGTCCACTTCTTCCCACTAAACAAGGACGATGAGAAACCTCAACTTCTTCCCTCTCCTGGGAAAGGGACTAAACAAAAATACCACTAAATACCACTAAACAAAAATTTTTTAAAAAAAGAAAAGAAATGTAAGGACTGGTCCTTCCAAAGTGAAGGCAGATGGGTTTATGTGCTCTTTATACAAAAATAAACCAGAAATGCTCACTCTTATTTATGGTTAGGGAAATGAAAACCAAATCCACAATTACATATCCCCTTCACTAGTGATAATTTCCTTTATCAAGAAGATTAGAAAAAAGAATTGGGAAGGGTGGCGAGAAAAATAAAAGCCCTAGTGTACATTGGTGGACTGAAAACGGGTTCAACCTCTATGGAAAACATTGTAGTAGCACCTCAAAATATGATGCATCATAAAGATATAAAAACATGAATACAAAAAGTTATGTGCACCCTTATGTCCATTACAACACTATATACAACAGTCAAGCTATGCAAACAACCTAAGCATCCAACCAACAGTGGTTAATTAGATACATGAGTTATGGTATATACACACACAATGGAACACTATGCAGCATTTTTTCCAAGATGAAATCATGCCATTTGCCACGACATAAATGGAACTGGAGGAGATGACACCAGGGAAGTAAGTCAGAGGACAAACACCAGATGATTTCACTTATTTGTGAAATATAAAGAAAACAAAGGAACAGACAAAACCAAAACAAGGCCCACCTGTGGATTCTGACTGAAGAACTGAAAGGGGCCTGGGGCAGGCTGGTAGAAAAGGAGGGAAGGACCTCAATGTACCAGATAGAGGATTATGGGTACTTTGGTGGTGGGTGCAGTGTGACAACATGTAATTTGAAGAGGTGTGAAACTATCCTCCTAAAGCATATACTACTTCATAAACAAACATCACCCCACTTAAAAGGGGGAAGAAAGAAATTCTAAGATTAGTTAAAAACTGGCCCTCTCCAGGCCTTCCCTGGTGGTGCAGCGGGTTAAAGCACTGCACTAAGAAGCTGAAACCACTTACGCATGAGTTCGATTCCCGCCTGCCCCGAAGGTGACCACATAGCGTGGCAGACCTCTCCTGACCCGCCCACTGCTCCCCTCAGCAATCGTCGATCTGCCTGTTCTGCTCCCCACTCTGTCTCTGGTGAAGCCTCTCACTGCCCCTGAGCTTCTGGCCTGTACCCCAGTTCTGTATGAATACGATTCCCGCCTGCCCCGGAGGTGACCACATGGCG